CCCCCCCCCCTCACACTGTTGGCATTTTCATCTCCCGCGCGTTTCCCTGCACTCGGCAGGAGAATCTGAAGGCCAGGCACAACGAGTACGTAAGGCGCGCCGAGCTTGTGGCGGACCCTCGGTCCTCCTCCTCTTCCTCTTCCGGTACTGGGGGGGGGGCGGGGCAGGACGGAGATCAAGCGGGCGCGAGCGACGTCCGGTCCCTGCGACGGCCGGGATTTGTCCAAGCCTTGCACACCGTCTTACGCGGACTTTACTGGGTGAGAGCCAGAGAGACATGGTGACAGGAGATGGAGAGCGGACGCGTTAGGGGCGCGTGTGTGGATGGATGCGTGTGCCGCCACATGGGTGGTGTAAGTGTGTGTTATAGGGCGGTAGATCTGTATGTTAGGTGGTCGTCGTTCACGCAACGGCATGGCACAACCACCGCCTTTCCGTTGACACCCTATTGTTTTGTACAAGTCCTTTCAAGTCACGTCAGCGCGTGTGAGGTACCAGTGGTCCCGTCCTCCCTCGGATGCGGCAGACGACACCGCAACAAAATTGTCGCTTTGCAGCGAGACTGTTACTGTGGTGGCTGTATTGTTGTTGGTGGCATATATGTTGCTTTGTTCCTGTCCTTGCCGAGTCTTTTCTTGCAGTGAATTATCCCCTTGTTAGTTATTCTCCTTCTTTTGCTATTCCCTCCTTCTCTACACTTTGCGTCCTTGTTCATATATTTTTCTTTTCCCTCCTCCCTGTTCCGCCTCAGGAATACTGCTTGACCAACGTGCGGCTGTGGTCGGACGCCGAGATTTTTGGAGCGAACGAGGTAGGCCGTGTGTTGTTGCCATCGTCGTGCCTTGCGCTCTCTTGCACGGCCTCTGTCCCGGCCAGTGGGTACGGTGTTGACTCATTTTCTCCGCCACTGTTCATCGCGGCGGGCGGCTAGCGGGGAGGGGGGATCTTGATGTGGAGTGTTGTGGTGGTGCTAGGCTGTTGGAGTTCAGCAGCAAAACCCAACCCAGGCCGCGGGTGTATGGCGCACCGTTACCGCGAAAGACGTCGTCCTTTGTGCTGTATGTATGTGCTGCTTGCTCTGTGGTGAGAGTGNGGGGGCTGGCAGTGCTACTTTGGTTGTGACGGGAACGAAACCCAAGATGTGGGTCGGATACGATTGAACCGCCTCTGGGACCGAGGGTTAGGTTAGGCGTCTGGCTATAGATTGTAGATACATGCGCAACCTTGACCACCGTTGGTGAAGAATACCGAAAGGATCGTTCCATCTTCTTTTCTGTTCCTCTCAAAAGCCAGTTTGTGCAGGCAGGCAACCCCCGGTACATGGCACGGAGGTCAGTTCCCTACCACTACCAAAGCCCCCCCCCCCCCCCCCC